AATACTTACGCTACTCTGCTGCATCATCCCTTCCTCTTCGGGGAAAACCAACGCAAGCTCAAGACGTAGCAGGGCGCGATATGACATAATGTTCTTCTCTAGTAAATATCCGATGGTGACAAAATCCTTCAAAGTGTCATCAGTGACTGTGGAAGGGACCCGGTTGCAGACTGTTGTCGTCTTTGGCGGCATGATGAAAAAGGACAAGCTAAAAAAGCAAGTAATTTGCCGGTTCAAGTTAATTGGTGGAATCACAGGTTAATGATTGCAATACAGATGAGTAATGGCGGCTTAAGTAAGGGCTAATGATATATGAAGGAAAAGTGAGCCGGCATGATAAGCCGCCATGACTAAAGGTATTTAAAAGTTGCCAGCAACAAAAAATTGGCTAAGTACTGAGATAAACAAGTTTCACAGGCTGTTGTTATTATCTTGGATCAAGATTGTTCAAAAACGGAAAATGAATATAGAGCTAAAAAACAGTACAGAGGAGTTCATCGGTTCTAAGTAGGCCTTTGTACAAGAAAAGGGGATCTACTAGCATCTAAAATGGATGCGAAACAGCTACCGCATGAGTTCCATACTTCTTTTAGATCAAAAGAGGATGTTGTGGAGAAACTACGACGAATCTTGATGAACAGCGAAGAACACAAAAGAACTTGCAAACCCTAATGCGGATCTAAGGTGCGGAGAAGTAAAAACTTACGGACGCAGTTCTACTACGGAGGATCGCCGCCGTTCTCGGGACGAGCTCAGGTTGATGCAGCGCCCAAGGTTGAGGACGAGCTGAGCGTTGCAGTGGCGACGGAGTTTGAGCGATAGAGGGGTTGCGAGAGAAGGAAGAAGAAGAATGAGGAAGATCAGCCGTGCCTATTTATAAGGAGATAGGTGAAGAGGCAGGCGCGAAAAACGAGGAAGGCTAAAATGATGATTATCCAGCTAATTAAACGCCTCGATTTTCGGAAGGCATTTAAGATAAGGATCCGTTAAGATGACGTCGTGGTGGGTTTCCAAATTTTCTGAAGATGACGGCATGGCGGATTACAAGGCTTTTACAAGCGGTGGAAGATGGATTTCTTCTAAGTGTTGAAGATTGACATGAACAAAGTTCAAATCAACCTAGGGCCTAATGTTGGGGATATGATTACCAGATATGAACTGCCCAGGAGGGGCCTGGTCAACCACAATGGCGGGTTACTTAAGTGAAGACCGAAGAGTATACAAGGTGACTGTTTATGATAAGGCTTATAATAGGCCCAAGCCCAGAGGTGACTTAAGGCCCGTAAGTATAAACCGCCATGTATGAATAAGACTTGTAAAATAAGGCATGTAGAGATATCACCGAGCCGGGCACGTTGTATGAGCCGGCCGGGACTCTGTAGGCCGCAGGGCGTCGACTCGTGTATATAAGGGGACGACCCGACGGCGGCTTAGGGCAGGAAACAACAAATCGAGAGCCAAGCTAGCGTATTTCGCTCCTTGGTCATCGAAACCTAGCAATATCACATCAACTGGACTAGGCTTTACCTTCACCGCAAGGGGCCGAACCAGTATAAACCTCTCGTGTCCTTTGTCCCGATTAACCCCTTTAAGCTTCCTAGTTGCGGTGGGTCCATGACTAAGTCCTTCCACTAGGACATCTGCCGTGACAATTTCACGACAGTGGGCGCGTGGAGATGTGTCATCGGCAGATCTGTTCTTGGTGGATTTGCTTGGATTTGGTCATAGTTCGTCTACGCTCGTGCGTCTTCAAGTTGGATCTTTTCGATCTACGCTACTCTTCAATGGCGGCGGTTGCTGTTCTGCTACGCTGGTCATATGGGGCCTTAACATGACGACTTCCGGACTGTTAGTTTGGCCTAGCTCCTGCAAGGGAGGGACGATGACGGCGGCGCGCCTTTGGCTTGCTTCGTGCTTGTAGTCGTCGTTAGATGATCTACAGATCTAGAAGTAATTTTTATTTCTTCTGGTGCTCGTTCTACTGCCATGATTGAAGATGAATATATCAGAAATTTTCTGGCAAAAAAGAACTAATATAAAATTGTTAGTAATATTACTAACATAAGATCGTTTAGTTCATTATCACTATTTAGTGATCTAAATCACTATCACTAATTAGTGATCTAAATGATCTTATATTAGTTTACAGGAACTACATGATTTGAAAAGCAAATTTAATGGGCCGACTCTGGGTAAACCTTGTGCGCAAGGCCCGGCTCTTCTTGTAAATATTTTGCTGCATTCTACAAAACTATGATAAACCTTGGCATGTTCTCGGGAAAAAGTACATGATGAACATGACAATTAAGAAGGGTTTTGTTTGAAAGGCACACAACATACTAAATAGAGCTAAAATCGCAAAAGAAGATAGGGCTAAATCAATACATGACAACCCTATTCAAAAAATGCCTGACGGTTGAGCCCAAGTATAATTTGGCGTTGTGGCCGGACAAACTCAAATAAGGACCAGGGGTTGAGCTTTCACGTTCAGAGAAAAAAATTAAGGCATCTCAGTAATAGAACATCCATATATTTGAACTGAACGGTCCAGACACTTTTAGATCTTCAACATGGGCAATCAAAATAGATTGGACATGTCCAAGCGGTTGAAATCTCGTAGCCTGCCCCAAATGCCAGGAGCTCTTGGACATCCAGTTGTTTGCCATGTCAGACTCCGAACGTTGGACCACCCAAAAACCCTCTACGGTGGCCACCCTAGAACCCTCCGCGCGTTCACTCTGTCCTGGCCGGCCATCGCCTACACAAATTGGCGGCGACGCGAAGACCGAAAAGCCTACTTTGGCTTTAAAGTTGACCAGTCTCCTCCTCCGCAAACCCTATCAGCGCGATCCTCCTACTCGCCCACACCTCCATCTACAGCCGCACAACACTATACCTCGGGTCACTTTGATGGGCAAGAAGACGACACCGAGAAGACCTGAACGCCATGGCTGCTCGGAGGTCAGGATCCAGTTCTCGTCGTCACCCCTAGTCGTCGGGCCCGTCATCCTCAACCGCTCCATCCACCGTGAAGGCGAAGCCGTTCTCCTCAGACGACGTGGTAGAAGCCGCCCTTGCTCGTTGTGTCGGCGGATGACGAGTTCGTTGTGCAAATGGAAGAGGCCCTACACCGGTCATTGATCGATCTGGGGCTGGCGTCATCATCACCGTCACGGAACCGCGATGTCCAAATCGGACGACACCGCGTGAAGGAGGAGCCATTCTCCTGCCGTGCAACCGTCGCGTCCAAACCATACGTCGCGTGAAGGAGGAGGAGTCTCCGATGCAGCCGGGCAGCAATGGCGTCTGGTCCTCCCCGCCACTAAGAAGGAGGAGGAGTCCTCCCTGGCGTTGTCCGAGGTGCCCCCGCGCCTCAATTATTACCTCAAAGGCATCGGCGCCTACAACGCATCATCACCAAAGTGCAAAGTAGAGGTATAGACGTGCCACCCAGAGCGGCGCAAGGCGGCATTTGCCAAGACCCGAGTGGTGTTCTCCATGGTGTCGGCCTATGTGCTTGCATACTCGAACTCGCGGAGGCTTGGGCCCTTGAACTGTCCTAGACCACCGTCGAGTCGGACGGCTGCCGCTGGCGCCCGGTCGACATACAACTCCCTCCAAAGTGCATGCGTATTTTGGTGGCCTGGCAGGGATGTCGTGACGCCTGGCGGGTCTTTCGCCAGTGGCACAAAAATGAAGACGATGGCACCTGGCCTAGTTTTAGTTTGGTTTAGTTTAAGTTTAGGTTAAATTTGTTCAATATCATCAGTTTACATGTAGTATATGGAACTTGCTTCAAGTTTCGTCTATGTTTTGTGTTTGATCCATTTCAAATGGACCGGAAATTTGATGGCTCCGGTTAGATGTCCTCTACCCCACCGAATGTCCGCGGAAACGTTCGTGTCCGTGAACATTTGGTGATGTCCATTTAATGATCCCTTTTTTGACAAATGATGAATTTTATTAGCTCAAAATGAAGCATCAAGGGGATACAAACATGCTGAGCAACATACCCGGTCTCTGCATAACTAGTATGCTCACAGCCAACTCCAACACACACACACATAAAAATTACACCAGCAACTAGCAAAGTCAAACAAGACCAAAGTTATGCATGATGAAAAAAAGAACTCTTAAGCGATAGAAACAATGATCAACAATCTACAACAACAACCATATCCGCACCTACAACCACTTGACAACATTGGTACACCGAAAAGGATTTCCAACAGCAACGCCTTCAGGAAGGGAACGGACGTATAAGCGCCGCCGTCGCCGGATCCAGCCATCAAAGGCTAGATCATTGGTTTTCACCCTGAAGAACAAGTCCGAGCAATGCCTTCAACAAGGTAACGACACAATAAGCATCACCATTGCTAGATATAACCAATAGAGTCAGACCTCGGGTTTTCACCCGGAGCTTGAGACTGATACTATCTATGTGTAGGTTTACTGGTCCCTTCGTATTTTGTGCCTAACTTTGAGAGTAGATTTGACTAACAATTTTTTTTGAAGCACATTGACTAACACATTATAAGTTGCATGTCACAAGACTTGTATTGTTGGATTCATATTTGAGGTTTCCAATGATACTATTTTTAGGGTATAGAATTATTTTTTAATACTTAAATCAAAGATCAAATTTTGACAAGAAATGATGTATGTGTCTAACCGGAGACATGAGCCACAAAAGACAGAAATAAACTCTCCCGGCCGACTCCCTGTCTCGAGTCCTTATTTTCGTATTACTCAATGAGCTCTTTTACCCAATCTGTACTGAATTCCGTTGCAGAAATCGGAGATTCTGGAGCTCCAGCGTTCTCTACTAAAAGGAAGAGTTCCTGTCCAGGTTCGCAGTGAGCAGCCACTCTGCACTCCACGACGACATGCAGCAATCCTCCACCAACGCCCTATCCTGCAGCTACCGTCCCGAACGCCAGCGCGCGTGAGCGTGACACAATCCACAGTGTCGTGGTGGCAACGCTCCTTCAGATCGAGCCATGGCGTCGTTTGCTTGTTACCTCGTCCTCCCCCTGCTACTCGCGTCCACGGCATGCCATGCCAGGGACGCCGTCACGCCGGGCCGCCCGCTCGCCGCGAACCAGACGCTGCTCTCGGCCCCCGACGGCAAGTTCGTGCTCGGCTTCTTCACCCCGCCGGGCGCCAACAGCACCTACGTCGGCGTCTGGTACGGCAAGGTCTCCGTCCGCACGGTGGTCTGGGTCGCCAACCGCGAGCGCCCCATCCCCGGCGGCGTCGCGGACAACCACGGCGCCACGCTCTCCGTGTCCGCCACCGGCACGCTCGCCATTGCCACGGCCAACTCGACCGTGGTGTGGTCGGTCAAGCCGGCGGCCGCGCTGGCGAGCCCCGCGGCGCGGATCCTGGACAGCGGCAACCTGGTGCTCGCGGGCGCGGGCGGCGGCGTGGCGTGGGAGGGGTTCGACTACCCGACCGACACGCTGCTCCCGGACATGAAGCTGGGGGTCGACCTCGTGAAGGGGCGGAACCGGACGCTGACGGCGTGGAAGAGCCCGTCGGACCCCTCGCCGGGCCCCGTGGTCATGGCGATGGTCACGTCCGGCGACCCCCAGGTGTTCATCTGGAACGGCGACGACCTGGTCTGGCGCTCCGGCCCCTGGGACGGCGTCCAGTTCACCGGCGTGCCGGACACCGTCACCTACTCCGACTTCACCTTCAGCTTCATCAACAACGCCCAGGAGGTCACGTACAGCTTCCACGTAAGAAACTCATCGCTCATGCACGCACGCACGCACGCACACGTACTCCCTCCGTTCTGAATTGCTTGTCGTAGGTATGGATGTATGTAGATGTATCTTAATTCTAGAAACATCCATTTCTGCGACGAGTAATTTGAAACGGAGGGAGTAGTACACTTCTCACGGCTCACCTGACGGCTCGGTAATCATCAAGGTGCACAACGAGTCGATCATATCGAGGCTGGGGCTGAACACCACGGGGAACAACGGGGTGCTGCAGCGGTCGACGTGGGTGGAGGCGGCCGGGACGTGGAACCTCTACTGGTACGCGCCCAAGGACCAGTGCGACGCCGTGTCGCCGTGCGGGCCCAACGGCGTGTGCGACACCAACAACATGCCCGTCTGCTCCTGCCTGCGCGGCTTCGTGCCCAGGTCGCCGGCGGCGTGGGCGCTGCGGGACGGCCGGGACGGCTGCGTGCGGGCGACGCCGCTCGACTGCCGGAACGGCACCGACGGGTTCGTCACGCTGAGGCACGCCAAGGTGCCGGACACGGTGCGGAGCCTCGTGGACATGAGCCTCAGCCTGGAGCAGTGCCGGCAGGCGTGCCTCCGGAACTGCTCCTGCACCGCCTACGCCAGCGGCAACGTCAGCGCCGACCGCCGCGCCGACGGCTCCGGCTGCGTCATGTGGAGCGCCGGGCTCACCGACCTGCGCGTCTACCCGGACTTCGGCCAGGAACTCTTCGTCCGACTCGCCGCCGCCGATCTCGGTACGCATACTCTGCATTCTACTACAATACATACGCCGCGTTCCTCCATATACGTACGTATCTTGTATTCTAACTTATAGTAGTATTCCAAAAAGAAAAACATTCGTACGTACGTGCGTACGGGTTAGAGCACATTTCACCACATTCGCATTACATACTGTTCGCTCGAAACAAAACATTGTGTTGGTATCTAAAAAATGACCTCAGTATATTTCCAGCGGTATGTATGTGCCCAATTATTGCATATCTAAGTGGCTCAATCAAATTAAAAAAAACAAAGAAAATGCTTGCACGAATCTTAGTGTAGAATCAATGACATAGGACTTAAATATGCAATACTTAGAGCATATCTAGATATGCTTTTGAATAACTGTATTTTCGATACCAACACTATGACCTTAGTATATAAAAAAAATAGCTTTGCTAAAGCACATCTAGATGTGCCATAAAATATTGTACATTTGGGTCCTATGTTATTGATTTTACATGAAAATTCGTGTGGGTATATTTTTTATTTTTCTTTATTTATACATTTTATTGAGTTACTTAGATGTATATGGCACATCTAAATGTGTCAGCCCCATAAAATGTATATTTGACATATTATAGTGTTGCCTAAAAAAATACTTCAACCATCAAATAGAAGCATCTTTTATCACAAATATACAAGGATTGCATATTTTCATTGATAGGCAAGAGAGAACAATCATACAGATAAGAAGGGAGGCACCACACTCAGTTGGGCTCAGCAGAACAAGGGGTGCTGAGCCCTCTAACACACATCAAACTAAACACGCCTAGCCCATCTCATAGGACACATAACACAAAAGACCACACCACAACCAAAGCCGGGCCAACTGGAAGCACGACCAAACCATGGGGCCAAACTGGATCAACGTACCCTGCACCCAAGCGCCAAGTAATTCTTGTTTCAAAAAAAGCGCCAAGTAATTGCAAGTGGTCAGCAGAAACTAGTCGGGCCCAACGAAGGCGTTGTCCAAGAGTCGCCACCAACGGAGTACATTGCGCCTCAAAGGCTCATGTCACGGCAGCGAGTTCACCAAAAGGATTCGAGGAGCCACGGCGGCGCCACAAGACCTGCCCCAGTGTATTGCACAGAGACCAAAAAAGGGACTGATTATTTATAAGTAGCCTAAAAATAGGTATGGGGCAAGTCGATTTTTGAGCAATCTCGGATCGAAATCAAACAACTGATCTTCTTACCTCAACCTCCCGACCGCACCTATTTCGGTCCGCCTAATCCAGCGTCGGCTGGGACGCCTGTTGTTACTACCTCCGTCTCGGTGAATAAGTCATTCGCGTAGTTCTAGGTCGACGATTTAACTATCTAAATATGTATTATATGTAATAAAATATATATATTTAGAAACTACATCCGTGTAGAAATCTAGTGATATACTTTTCATGACATATAACATAAAAAGGAAAGAAAAAGGCGGTGCTTAAGTTGGACAGGGACCAGACCACAGCCAGCCATCGCTCCATGAATTGGTCCCGAGAGCTTTTAGTCCCGAAAGCAGGGCCATTCATGCATCCGAAAAAGGCGCAGCGCAAGCTTTGATCTGCACAGCGCGGCAAAAAGCTCAACTATGCGAGCTAGTAGTAGTACGGTGGAACAGGCGCCGCCACCGAAACGAGAGGCTCCACGACTCCAACCGTGCATCTCACCTGACCCAAGGTCCGAAATTTCTAGTGGAACGTACGCACCCTCGTTACACTTTTGTTTCACAAGCTTCGGGCATACTCCTACGTAGCATATGCTCAGTAGTCGACACGTTGATCCATTTCTGTTGGGTCAGAGGCATCGCGTGTGAATGCTTGCATGCCATTGGCAAGCAAGATTGGTGGCGATCGCTCTCGCAAAGGCATCTACTGCGCCCTCGCAAATCGCTCCGAATTTGCCCGATTGGGACGGCAAACCGATGGGGAATTGGAATTGGGGATTCGGCCACTCAGCTTGTTCTGACTTCCGTGACATGGCGACGTCGGTCGATCGGCTTCTCGGATCAGGAGCGCGTCAAGGTCGGCCGGCTGCGGCGGGAATCACACCTGGTCTGTGAGGTCTCCGTCGAGCCTCAACGTGTATCTCCCCCCCACGCTCAATGCTTTGATACTACGTTCTCTGTCTGATGCCACGATCGAAAGGACGAAGAAGACGGGCAGCATGCGATGCGACGGGGTTTCCTCTTTTTCCCAAGGGAATCAAATGCTCTTTCGTGATGTGGCCCGGGGTGAGTCCGGCTGATTTGGACGTGTGGTACTACCACACTACACTACACTAGGGAAGGACCAATGTTGCATGCATGGCCTTTGTAGGCCATGAGAGGCACGTGGAACGTGGCTAGAATCGTACCACCAGTTGGTAGGTCTTTTTCTTTTTTTGAGGGAGTTGGTGGGTGAAATTTCGCTAATGAGGATAAAGCTCTAGTGATAAGATGCTCCTTGCCAACTGAAAGATGGACAGGGTTATGCAGTCTTCCTCCGTAAGAAAAGCTATGCAGCCTCCACTCTCTACTGCTTCGTGCTTATAAACCTTAGAGCATCGTCAACCGTTGGCCCCTCATACAGCGATTTTACGCGTTCCCTGGAGGCGAGCCGCGCTTAAATCGGCGCGGGGGCGAGCGGGTTCCCAGCCGCTCGCCCCAGGATCACCCCGGACGCGTTTTTTAATTTTTTTAATAAGCTGAATTCGGCGAAGTTAGGCTAAGATTCGGCAAACTTGATATTCATATTAAACATGTTCGACGTTTTACATAAATTATTAAAAAAAATAATCTATGGGGTGAAGAACTCGATCAGCGCGACGAAGTCGCCGCCGTCGTCATCGTCGTCGGCGGCCTTCTCCTTCTCGATGGCGCGGCCGCCCCTGCTAGACCCCTGCCCGGCGTCTCCATGGCGGACAGGCGGTGGCGGCGCATCGTCATCGTCGTCGTTGTCCTCGAGGACGACGATACCTCCCTCGTCCCAGCCACGGCGACGAGCTTCGAACCGCGCGAGGGCGGCGCACTGGTGCTCCTTCTCCGCCTGCAGCCAGTCGTCGCGTGCCCATTTGAGGGCCGCCTCGTCGTCGAGCGCCTCCTCCTTCACGCCGTCGGCGAGCCGGGGCTCCGTCTTCACGACGGGGAGCCCTGGCTCTGTCTTCGGCTTGACGAGTCGGGGAGGGGCCGAGGACGAGGCGCGGCCGCCGCCTTCGTTGATGACGATGCCGGCCGGGCGGGTGCGCCGGCCGAGCGGGGTCTCCGCTGCGGGCTCGGCCTTGACGCCGAACACCGCAGGAGAACCAGAGGAGTGGGACGAGGAGTGGGAGGAGGAACGGGACGAGGACGACGAGCCGGAGACGAACCTCCTTGGCATCCATTGCCTGGCGGGGCACCGGAGCGGCGGCCGGCCCTCGAGGGTATGTGAGCGGCGGGTTGTTGCCGCCCTCGAGGTGCGCGAGAACCTCGCGGAGCGTCCGGTCGGGGACGGACCACCACAGTCATTGCCCCTCGCTGTTCCACCGGCTGCCCGCCACCACCGGTGCCCCGTTGAAGGAGGCGAGGCGTTGCTCCTGACGGTACTGGAAGTACGCCGCCCACGCCTCGTGGTTGTCGGCGGCATACTGCGGGGAGGCGCGCTGCTCCTCGGTCAGCGACGACCGAACGCGGTCGCCCTCGCCGGCGAAGTGATCGGGGCGCGCGACGACGTCCGGCAGGGGGGATGGGGACGTCTCCGGCGCTGAGCCTCCATCCTGTCGGCCCAGCGCGCATGTCTGGAGGCGCCGGGATGTTCGCCTCGAACAGCAGGTACGCCTCCCACGTCTGCAGCGAGCTGCGGCGAAGCCGTTGGCCGCCGCTCCGTCGCCGGGGAACCGCTCGCACATTGTCGTGGATGGGCTGGGAGAGAGGAGAGGTTCGTCGGCGGCGGAGAGAGAGACAGAGAGGTTCGGGGGCGCTAGAGAGAGACAGGGAGCACGGCGTCTGTGGTCAACGGCGGGGGTGCGGCGATGCTTTTTATAGCCGCCGGGGAGGCGTGGGTACGCGGGGCGGGGAGTGAGGCGGCGGCGCGCCGTCCGTGAAGAGCCGCCCCGTGAGGAATCAATGGAAGGCTGACCGGCGGCAGCCTTGGCATTGATTCCCCGCGGAAAACCGAGGCGTTCGCGAGACGACGAGGCGAGTGTGTGGGCCCGCGGCTCTTTCGCGCCAAAACCATTTCGCCCGGCGCCCCGATCGCTCCCAGCGCGTCGGGGTCGGCCTGAGTTCACCGACGTCAATTTCGATCCGAACCGGTGAAAATTGGGCTTCTGGGAACGCGACTGAGCCGATTTTTATATGCCGACGCGAAAAAATCGACTAAAAAGGGTGTCTTGAGGGCTCGGCTGAAGATGCTTTTAGCATGAAGCCCGTGCAGCGTGCCATGGATTTGGTTGGCAGTCATGAGGCAACAATGCTAGGAATTAGTTAAACGCTTGCTCGTAGAAACTTGAGCCGCCCTCCCGAATGAGGCCAAACCCACGACGTCGGCAGTAACGCAGCCTCTGCGGAGCGGACCAACATGCCATGGGTTTTGGACCTTTTGATGCTCCACGACGTCGACGTCGGCAGTGGGCAGTTTTGGACTTTTGATGCTCTTCACAAATGTACATCAAAAGGGATAAATACCATCTGCTAGATAGTACTTCTTTGTATACTTATACCCATTCATCATGAAGTTGCAAGTTGGAGTATCGTCACTAGCAAGTCTAGCAAAAAAATGAGACCGTTGCAACACATTAATATCATTGAGAGTACCCGGCATACAAAGAAAACAATGCCAAATACATAAATTCTCGGATGCTACGGCCTCTAGCACAATTATTGCATCACGAGACTTGCCACAATACTGCCCGTGCCATGCCTTCGGGCAGTTTTTCCGAGTCCAGTGCATGCAATCAACGCTTTCTAGCATGCCGGGTCAACCTCGCTTCTCATTTGCTGCCATCAACTTTATTGTGTCTTCCTCGTTGGGTTCACGAAGATAGACAGGACCACAAGACTCGAATCATCACTTTGGCAAACCTACGCACTGACTCAATTATAGTATCGGCATAGTCAGCTGGAATACCATATGCAATCACACGCATAGCTACGGAGATTTTTTTTGATAGGCACTAAAACCCAACAAGCCCGCGACGTTTCTTCTTTGAGTAAAAAACCGGCAATTGGCTTCGCAAGCTTGCATAATTTTTACGAAGAGTGATCAGCGCAATTGATACATTCTCCGAGAGAGGTGCGGCGAATAGGTTGGATTGTCCGTGAAGTAGTCTTGCATCAACATCATATTCCCGAGATGGCGGTTGCGAGGGATGCAAAGACGGCCGACGGTCGAACCTCGCCGTCTCTTGCGGTTTCGATCCTCCACCTCCTTCACGGCTACGACCGCCACAACCATCTGCTGACGATGGCGCTCGAGCATCGATTCGACGTTCGAGTCGTCGGACGAGCACGAATCCTCGAGCAAAAGTTGCTCGCACGGCTCAAATCCATCTACAAAAAAAACGCATCGGCGCTCGCATCAACGAAACTTCTGCGACCGAGCTACAAGGGAAAGAAAAGAGGCTCACCGGGGCGGCATCGACCGATGGCGGCTCGGCGAATCCGGGGCGGGGCCCGACCGGTGGCGGCTCAGTGAATTCGTGGTGGGCAGTGGCTCGTGGCGGTCGATCCAGGGCGGCGGTGACGTCGCAGTGGCTTGGCTCGTCGGATCCGGGGCGGGCGCCGGGCGGCTACGGGGAGCGCACGCGCCGAAATGTCCTACTAACCGCTTTCACGGGATACAGGGCACCGACAGGGCGAGGAGTTAGGGGAAGGGGGGCTTTGTTTTCGCAGATCAAGGGAGGATTTTACCGCGCCCATCAAAAAAAATTACGGGTCAAACGCTTTTATGGTTTCTATTCGGGACATTTTATTCGTCGAAAACCGTAAACTGATGGTTATTTTGTGAGTCGGGATGTTTTAAGGGATCTGCTAGAGATGCTCATAACATGGCAGCCACAGCAAATCTGTTGGAAACCAAATCACCATCACCATAGGCAGGCGTCCGACACCCAGCTTCCGTGACAAGGTTATTAATCAGCCAAAACGTGGTCGCCGCAGCAGCGTCTTTTTGGTAGGACGGGGCCTCCACAGCCACAAACCACAAAACGTGGTCGGGTTGGTCGCTCAGCACCACTCGGCACATGCAGAGCTACAAAGCGTTTTAGGATTCAATAATTACAGTAGTAAAAGCCAGACAACCAAATCTGCCAAAGCAGCAGCAGCAGCATCAGCAGCCCGGGCCCGGTCAGGCATCACTTTGCTTTATTCATTTGCAACTGCAAGCTGGTCCGATGTGTAGCGCCAGAGCTCTTGGGGGCATCTGAAGCTCGCACTCAGGCCTCGGCTGCTGAAGCAGAGCAAAGAGCATGTGACATCTTGGGATGCTCATAAAAGCATCTGTTCCTCTAGAACTCCAGATGAATGTGCAGGCATATGCATCCTCAAACTAACCGTTCATGGTTTATCACACAGGTATAACAAGTAAATCCAAGAAGAAACACGTAATAGTCGCAGTCGTCGCCAGCGTCTGCGCGCTGGCATTCCTTTTAGCAATCGCTGGTGTTTTCTTCTGGACAAGAGGGAAGAAGAAAGCAAGAAAAACAGGTAGCATCCAGTAGACTTTCGACTGAACTAATTACATGACGTTTCTGAATGCTATTCTGACTTTGTATGGCTGTAGCATCGAGTAAATGGAGCGGCGGTTCACGGAGCACTCCCCGCCAATACGATGGAAGTAGTCACAATGATGACTTGGAACTGCCAATATTTGATCTGGGGACAATTGCAGTTGCCACCGATGGTTTCTCCATCGATAATAAGCTCGGCGAGGGTGGCTTTGGACCAGTATACAAGGTTAGCATTTTATATGGCATATCTACACAATGCATATTGATGAAACAATAAGCAACATCAAGAACACTAATTAATCGAAAGGAACAACATAATCATTTTAAATCAACAAACTACGGCAATTTGAAAACTCTGATCTGCTAAAGTTTGAAAGCATCTCTTTCAAAATTACAGGGTAAGCTCGAGGATGGGCAGGAAATAGCTGTTAAGACACTTTCAAAAACATCCGTACAGGGTCTCGATGAGTTCAAGAATGAGGTTATGTTAATAGCTAAACTCCAGCACCGGAACCTTGTCCGGCTTCTTGGCTATAGCATTAGTGGACAAGAAAGGCTACTTATCTATGAATACATGGAAAATAAGAGCCTTGACTACTTCCTATTTGGTAACCTCTCAACCTTTCACTTTCTGACCTCAAATATTGTCTGACAAAATTACCAACATGTGTTTGCATATGTCAGCAGAAAAGTCCAACAGTATCCAACTTGATTGGCAAGTGCGATACTCTATCATAGAAGGCATTGCTCGAGGATTACTGTATCTCCACCAGGACTCAAGATACAGAATCATCCATAGAGACATGAAGGCAAGTAATGTTCTTCTAGACAAGGAGATGATTCCCAAAATTTCTGACTTCGGGATGGCAAGAATGTTTGGCAGTGAAGAGACAGAAATAAATACGTGTAAAGTCGTTGGCACATAGTAAGTATGATAACAGGGAAAACAAATATTTGATTATACAAATGAGTTTCCCAATATTAATCATATTGACGTGGCTATTCTGTAGTGGCTACATGGCTCCAGAGTATGCAATGGATGGAGTCTTCTCAGTCAAATCAGATGTATTTAGTTTCGGCGTATTACTGCTGGAAATAATAAGTGGTAGAAGAAACAGAGGGGTGTACTCCTACTCAAATCACCTAAATCTTCTAGGACATGTAAGAACATAGTCATCCATACATAAAAGTTGTGTTTCTCAGTTAAATTTCAAGATAACTTCGTCAGGTTTTTCATTCTGCAGGCATGGAGCTTATGGAACGAAGGGAAAGGCGTAGAATTAGCAGATGAAACCATGAATGGCTCGTTCAACTCAGATCAAGTACTCAAATGCACCAGAGTGGGGCTCCTGTGTGTGCAAGAGAACCCAGATGATCGTCCATTGATGTCTCAAGTGCTTATGATGTTAGCTGCTACAGATATTGCCACATTGCCAACTCCTAAGCAGCCTGGTTTTGCAGCTAAAAGAATTCAAATGGAAACAGAGACGTCATCAAGCAAACCAGACAGCAGCATATTCGGCAGTGCGACTGTTACCATAATTGAAGGTCGATAGGAAGCTAAGCTGCTTATTGAACTTACCAGGGGTTCTATATTATAGAATGAGGATTAGTACATTACTATTTTCTTATCGATTGTGCATCTGGGCAAAAGGGACTAATGTTGTTTTGAATAATATCACATACTAGAATGAAGATTGCTTCAGCTCAGCAGTCATTTTAAACTGTGGTGGTCATTGTTGACAAGTAACAACAGAAAGTAGGAAAGTTCTGTTATCTGGTATTATTTTGAAGTCACAAATCAGAATGAAGATTACGTCCGCACAGCAGTTATTTTAAATTGTAGTGATCATCAATGAAATGAAAGTAACAGAAAATAGAAAGGTTCTGCTACAAGGCAATATATTACAAAGCACCTCACACCATTAATATTCCATGTCCTGAAGGTTTCAAACTCTTAATTCCTAAGGATATTTTTCTTATCTTTACTTTATTTTTAAAATAGAAGAGACGAGGGTTTTTTCTAGCCATCAGCATATTGTTTCAGCTCGGTGGGAACCCAATTATTTTCCTCAGGATCTCTTGAATGAAATTAGGGAACAAAGTAAGTATATTAGATGGATTTAAATAGAATTTCTAGTATCTCCTATTCTAATTTCGCAAACAAATCACAACTAAAGCAAAATCAGGCACCAGCACCTGTGCAATGTCGGATTAATAGTCCTTGCAGTATATCAAGTTCTGACACAAAATTGAGCACTCAAATAACTTTGAACAGTACTTAAGTATTTGTACTTGGAAATCATAATCGTATATTTTCCCATATTATGTCCTGAAATCATGAACATCTAATATCCAATAATAAATTAACTACCTTAGATCATCAACAGGTCATGTCTTATTGGACTATGTTTCCCCATTTATCAGTTACAGCCGTCAGAATCTACAGCTATCCAAACATCGTCATACAATAATCAGGAACAGTGAAGTGATACCTAAACATAATGTAATCATCAACCACTTATATATTCTGATCTAAGGGAAGAGGTTTTGGTGTAAGATGATCATAACTTTGTATGCTCTGATGTAATAGGGTATCCCCTTGCTCTACTTTGCGATCCGTGTCCTGGAGACTAAAAGCTTAAACTGGGCAAAAAAGCCTTCTATCTGAATTTAAAAACTTTGTATGGTAAGCTATTAATTTAATCAGCTAATTTATATATATGTTAGGACGTCAAATGGAAACCAAATGAGCCCTTTGGATTAGCACATGATGGACACAAGTGCCAACTTTAGCTTACTCTGCTAGCTATGGCAGGGGAGAAAGAAGGGGTCAAAAGAATGAAACTCACTACAACATTATTTACACCTAGCTAATTTGGTCATCTTCGACCATTCAAGAAGCTCTGGTATTGAGTCCCATTCAAAGTATTAGAAACATCAGTCCAATTATCAATATGATCACGCAACCGTTTAGTATGGATTTTCACATGCCGACTGGATAGCTTCATCTTTGGCAATTTCAGAAAATCCAGCACATCTGTAAGCTTCTGAAAGAAAGCAAAATAGATGTTACCGAGAGAAATAAATGTTGATTAATTCCCAAACATGAACATAATGCAAGAGGGCTCACAGTGCGATTGCTGACCACATCCTCATAGTACAGGACAATACTCCGGATCTTCTTGAAACTCACTAAACCATCAGCTGCCAACTTATCAGACCTTTTCAGTTCAGCAATCAACGATTTTGTGTCTATTGTTGGCTTATACTGAGCAAGAACATCAGCCTGCAGAGAAGAAAAATGGAGAATTTTTTAATTCTGCGGCACATCCAAAATAGCACAGAAGATAAAGTAGTTAAAGGTGCGCTAAGATGTAGGGGGGTCATCCTTGATTTGTGATACCAAAATTTGCAGACATAAAATAAAATTTATCACACTGTGGGCTGTAAGATCAAGGGGAAAAAAGGTGAACCTGGCCTCTGTGATGCACATGAGCTTTGTGAGTTCCATTTAGTTGCTTCGTATTTCTATCATAATCATTTGCCAATATAGAGACATATCGCTGCAGAAGGTTTCTTCTTAAAAGGAAAATTAAAGACACACCCCTTCGGTTGAAATATTCAGCTATCTCTTGATGATGTTTCATCAGACCCTGTAATTCCACAAAACAATCGTATCAAAACAAGTAAACCAGGCTGGCTAAGATTATCGGAAGAGATGCAGCACATTAAATAATTACAGTACAGAAAATACTGCTTACGAACAAATCAAAGGAAAACCTGATTTACAACAAACGTTAGATTTCCTCAA